GAAAGAGGAGATAAAAAACTATGTAAATAATTTAGAATGAAATAGTACATTGGACAAGCATTAAACAGAAAAATAATGCATACAAAAACAATGAAGAATATGGCTTCAATAAAAGTAGAGATTTAATTAGACGCGGTCAGTGATCTATATATATCTTTCTATCAGTATTATATAACTGCAAAAATTGCTTCAACTTATCCAAAATAAAATCATTTAATAAAATTCTACGTACCCTTCTTAATAGCTTTGTACTTCTCTTCATTCTCCATAAAATTAGGATCCATCTTGAAAACATCTTAAAAAAATAAATTAAAAGTTTAAGTAAGTTTTTATTTTCTGTGCTTACACTTTTTGGTGCCCTACTTCCCAACCATCACCCCCTAACTTACTAAGAACATCTTCTGGATTATAGTCATCTTCAAGAGGAAGCATATGGGTGAACTGATCATCTTCTTCCACTAAGTCAAGTCCTTCTAGAATAACAGGGTGGTCCTTGAACCCATCTTTCCTTACAGCAAACATCACTTCAATCATGTACTGAACTCTTTTATCTATTTCAGACTCATGGAGAATGTTTCGAAGGCGTTCAAATATAGCTAGGTTAAGCAGAAAGAAAAGACAATAAAATAAGCAATAAATATTATAATACTCAAACAAAAGCTGGCTATCAAAACAAGGATATACACTACCATTGATTCCTCTTGGTGACACCTGTGTTAATTTGAGGCCACATTCCTTGAGAAAACCAATAGCTACTTCAACACTATCATCTGTTGGTCTTTCCAGGAGCAAAGTGAGCATCTCTAAGCATAAAACTTCATGTGCCTTAAATAGAATAAAGACATATGGAATAAAGAAAATGTTTTAACATTTATAAGCCTAGTATTGACAGTAATTTTAAGTTACTAAATCTGTTTTTTTGCATTGATAATATTGTATTACCAAAGTTTTATAATGTATATAAAAAATACTGCATATATGAAATACAATTATTCTTTTGCTTTCATTATGCATCTGTTAAGAATTCCCAAATGATTATTACAAAATTCCTAGTGTATTGCACTGAATAAAATTATTTGACTTACCTCCAGGAGAAATATTCTTATACATAATATAAAAAAATATAACATTTATTACCTATAGGGAATACAATAATTAACCTCAAAATATAAATTAAAATACTTTAATCTGGGATATTTTCATAGTCACTATATTAAGAATAGTGATTCTCTATAAGCACAAATATTTATATCCATTGTCCATTTCATTTTATCAGCAACTATTAGAAAATAATTCTTAAATTACATGCATAATTATTTTATCAGAAAATACCTTAATTTCTGGTATGAAATTATAATTTTAAATATATCTTTTATTTTTTAAACTAAATCAAACTACTTACACTGGTCATATTAAAAAAGTTAACACCTATAAACAATGCCAGGTAGAGTGGGAATAAAATTCTATTGGGAAGCTTTGCTGTGAAAAAGAACTAGAAATGTTCAAAAACACTATACATAAGCCTTTCTGAAGTCAAACACTTATTTAAGATGGGGAGGGGAAAAGTCTAAATTTCAACTCAAGACATTATTTTTTTTTTGTATTGAGCACAAGATAAAAAATACATACTACTTTTTATGGGAGGGGGCAAACAGTCTTATAAATTACAAGAAAACATCACCCTGTATCACAGTTGGGAAGAAAATATTTATCATTTTAACTGTTTTTGACAATGCCAAAGTATCTCTAATATAAAGTAAGATATACATTATAAAACTGAAACATATAGTTGTGCTGACATAGACATGTGAGGTTTTTATAGTCTTAAACAGCATGTTTTTATTATTTTAACTAATTAGGTTACAATCTAAAAGGTTTCTTAAACACTGACAAGAATTTCACATAGGAAATAATTAAAATAATATTTATGTTAGAGAAATAAGATAAAAGTGTGATTTTAAAATTGTTCTTATAGATACCATCAAACATGATAATACATATTGAAACTTTGAATGTGAACAAGAACAATTTTACTATCTCCTTCAAGTTGAAACAGAATCAAAACTCTCAAATAGTGATTAAATACAAAATAAACACAAAACTGAATAGATAAAATTATTTGTATTTAAAATTACCTAATCTACTATCCTATATAATAAGAGCCTATTATGCAAATTGTCCCCTTGGACAGTCATTCAACCCGGGAGTTTGGCTGGGAGACCAGGAGTTCGACTGCTCACTATGATGTGTGCTGACCACCAGGGGGCGGCACAAAACATGGCAGGTGTAAACGATGCAGTGCTGGCAGTGGGCAGCAGTGGAGGAGGCGCCGGCCCCAATGGGCCCCGACGAGAGTGGGACCACAGTGGAATGGTGGAGCAGGTGAGCGGGCGGCGCCAGGCCAAGGCGGGATGCCAGGTGGGGCTGCAGGGTGGGGACGCGAGCTGGGGCCCGATCTCTGCAGGCCACCCCAAGGGACCCCACCAGTGCACAAATTCATGCACCGGGCACCTAGTATTTTATAAACCGATTCTATGAATATATGGCTACATATACTATATGTATATACTAGCTGCAGGGATCAGGAATTTTTATTATTAGGTATTATTAGGTCCTCAAAGAGTGGGGGAAATACCAACTTTATTGCTTTGTAAAAACAAGTGCTATACTTTCTCTGAGAAAATGATTTGTAGTTAAGTGAACATGAAGAGAATTACGAGATCAATTTGATAAAACAATGTCTGGTTATTCTTCATATTAAATAATATTAAAGGCATTTATTATAGTTTTAACATTAAAATATTATCCAAGATACTTTTCCAAAGACTGTAAAATCAAAACAAAAACAGAGACATGTCATTGAAGTGCATCAAGTCTGTGTGGTCTAATGTCACTACAAGGTACTAAGTTTTGAAGATAATTACTTACCACATTTTGGTTAATAAGATGTGCCACAAATTTTGAAGCAGTCAGACAAAGTTGCTGGTAAGTGAAGATAGAGAAAAAGTTAATCCATAAACTAAAACCAATTTTCATTTATCTAAAAATCTATAGCTTACACACTCTTTAAAATATGTAATACACAGGATCATTTTTATATCAAAGTTAAAGAATAAGAACTAATAGATGTGAAAGAGTGCCATTTCTGGCAAAATAGTTAAAATTTCTGTGGCTCATCATTAGTAGCCAGAGATATTTAACAGAGTAAAAAAAAAGTTTTCATGAAATATGCAGTTTTAAAAAAGAATTCCTATATAGAAATCAACATTGCTCACTATTGTCGATACTGACTTGTTCATCTGTCCTTATATGGCAGTTTACTTACAAGCCCATCATATATACCTTATCATTTCTTCGATAGCCTTTCCGGAAATTAAGAATTAACCTCTTGAGGATTAATTCTCCGATTTGTGGAAATTTCGAGTTGATAATAGCCACTAAGGCTGCATAAACATGGGTGAAGATTGGAGAAGCACTCTGTGCTTGCAAAACAGATCTGGACAGCAGGCCTCTGTTAAAAAAAAAAAAAGAAAATCAACAATAATCACCAATTTGATTAGAAGAATAAAAAACTCATTTAAAATCCAGTAATATTATTCCTCTGTAAATAATCACAAATGCTAAATCAGGATTAAATTTATATCACTTTATTTGGGAGAAAAGTTTATCTTTCTAACAAGTGAAAACTGCTTTTGAGAAAATAAACTTCAATTTGTGCTTTCACAAAACAGATTTTACTACAATTTTTTCTTCAAAAAATTTTCTCTCACAATATAATTCCTCTTTTCCAATTTCTGTTTATTATATCTAATTATAAATTTGAGTTTTTTTAAACTTCTTAAAAGTAATTAAACATTTGCAAAATAGTATATCAAAAACAGACCTGCTTCAAAAGTACTAAACTTAAACAAAATAAGATTTCCACTACTGGACCATTATTTTAAATAAAATTATGTGATTAAAGACAAATTTGGGTATTTCCCATCTTTAAGCCTATTTTCAGTAAATTAAAAATGAAGATTTGGAAGCAATGCAAGAATAATGCTAAAACAATGACAGAAATATAAAAAGTTCTATGTTAACTCACTTTTAAAATAAGCATGTTTCTATATGCATTTGACAAGGAGAAAGATGCAAAGTGGGCTGAACAGTTATTTTTAGCAATATAATGACAATTAATTATTAGACTGCCAAAAGGCAGGAAACCATTGTCTTAGTAGTCATCGGGTTAAGGTGTGACAATTAAATCATTAGAGTAGAAAATGAGAAAAGAGAACTCAGCTAATAAGTGGTAAGATCTTAAGCAACCCACATAAGTTCTCAGAAAATGAAAGAGCACTACCTACTTCTGAGAACAGTGGCTACCTTAGGTCACCTTTCTTTATCCTCACAACATGCTACACCTCAGTTTATATGCCCAATGTTGTTTGGAAAGGAATCAGGGTCATGTGAAAATAGACTTCAGATTTAAATAATAAATAGAATGAATACAGGATATCTGTTTCCTGACCCTTTTCAACATCACGAACTACTTAAAACCGCAAAGAAAATGCTAAGTCATTCTCTTCTGCTTTTCTAAAATGTATTACTGATCTTCCTCACTTCTTTCACATTCTCACTTTGCTTTCATTAGAAATTAAACTGGTTTGAAGATATTCACTATTCTTCATGAGTTTAAGTTATTAGAAGTATTCCATACATAAATATCTTCAAAAGTCATTATATCACATCAAAGCTTCTTAAAAGCAAAATCTCCATACAACCTTCAATTGTTAAGTACAGGCTATTTGTTAATAGTTACCTTTTTACAAAAATTGCATTTTAAATATCCACAATTACCTCTGAAATAAGGTAGCATAATAAATCAATAATTATGGTTCATGTAGGTTATGTTCCTTTGAAAAACCACTATGAAATACTACAAATAAAATAGCTGATGCTTACCTCCCTCTAACTATGTTTTCTTGAAGGAGTTCTTGAATAATAATACCTATATTAGAAATGTTGACTTTGTTGATAAGACCATTAATTGACTTCTTTAGGGCTTCCCAGCTCATCCTCTGGTATGCTAAGCTAAAAAGAATAGATTTTAATAAAGATTAAAACTCCATCAACAATCACAATAACAAGAGGTTATTTGAACATAAAAAATACTTAGTGCCTTTATTTTTAACATTATTTCCATAAAATGACCACAAATGCAGTAAAATATTACTAAATAAACACAGATTATATCCTAAGCCAGTGGTTGGCAAACTGCGGCTCGCGAGCTACATGCGGCTCTTTGGCTCCTTGAGTGTGGCTCTTCCACAAAACACCGCGTGCAGGTAGGCATGTACAGTGTGATTGAAACTTCGTGGCCCATGCGCAGAAGTCGGTATTTTGTGGAAGAGCCACACTCAAGGGGCCAAAGAGCCACATGTGGCTCGCGAGCCACAGTTTGCCGACCACTGTCCTAAGTTACTTGATTTTTATGTACATATAATGCTTACACACAGACTGCTTCCCTTTAATAACATACATTTATTAAGGACATATAAGGATAATCATATATATTGCAATTTACAACATTTAATTCATTAGTCAGATTCAATACATGGTTATTTTACATTATAAGACTTTATTCAAACTTGTCTTTAAAAATTTTTTTAGATAAAAGCTATTATTTTTTATTTTAAATTATAATCTGAAATACCTACATATAAACCATAAAAAAGAAATTTTTATTATGTTCCATCTCCTAAAAGCATGAGAAAACAAAATTATTTTAAACTATCCTATATAATAAAAGCCCAGCAATCAAACAGCGGAATGACCAGAAGACCAGTCAACCAGTCGCTATGACGCACACTGACCACCAGGGGGCAGGCCCTCAATGCAGGAACTACCCCTGGTGGTCAGTGCGCTACCACAGTGGGAGCGCCACTCAGCTGACCGGGATGAGCGGCTGCTCTCGCAGCAGCTCAGAGGGTGGGTCCATAGCCGCTCGACTGAGCGGCACTACTATAGTGGGCCGATCCCTGCAGGCCACACCCCCCACTAGTGCACAATCCTGTGCACCGGACCTCTAGTAAAGAAATAATAATTATAGGAAAAGGAAAGTCATATGAAATCGTGGGCTGAAAGACTGTTCTAAATATTTAAAGAACGTCTCTACATTTATGTAATAATCCCATAGCTATACCAGCTGAATGCCAGATAGCTATACTTTTTAACTAAAGTCGTAGGTAAATTTTTCAGCCATAAAGTTTCTTTGGTTGAACGTGATACAGTCTAAAACCTTTTAAAGCTCTAAGATTCTATGGTTTTTTATAATTATTTCTTTATGGAATGTCATTTCAGATGCAGTTTTAATTTTTTTTTCTTACATATAAATTTTTGAGGAAGCTGATAGACTTCTTGGGATAATATTTACAAATGTATAGGATTACAAAGGATAGCAATCATACTGAAATATAGTTTTTAAAACATGAAAAGAACAAAAGTTTGATATAGTACTCTCTGTGCTTCTTAACACATTAAATAACAAGAACTGGTAGTAGGCCTAATAACTTCTTTAATTTCCAAATACCATGGCCATAAAGAATTATTATGAGATATTTGCAACTAATAGTCTATTAATACTATGGTCTGTTACCTATATTCCCATAGGAAAAAATGATAAATTTTAGTTAGAGATTAGTAAAAATAAAGATGCATTTCCCCCCATTTATGTTCATGAACTGCCTGAATTCTATTCATGGATCTCTTAAAGGTGTGTAGGTTAAGATTCCCTATTCTGGAGTGACTAGAGGCCAGATGAACGAAATCTGTGCAAGAGTAGGTCTTCCTTCCCCCAGCTGCTGGCACCAGCTTCCCTCGAAGCCCTGGCTTCATCTGGAAGGACGTCCAGTCTAATTAGTATATTATGCTTTTATTATTATAGATATTAAGGAGAGATGGGGAGAGTATTTTATTACTGATACTATCCTCAACAAACACTGAGGATACTAAGCAGACTGAATTGTAGTTAATTTTATTGTTTCTAAATTTGCTATAGATCATGTACCCCTTAGTGCCTGCACTCCCACTGTTCCTCAACCCCAACCTTTTGGTATGCTACTATCTCTAAAGAAATATATCTATGGCTTAATAACCAACTTGACCAATAAAATATTACTGATAATCACTTCTATTAAACTTTGATTAAAAGACTGTATCAAGTAAAATTATACTTCTTAATTAGGAAGCCTACAATTCACCTGATTAAGTACCTTCTAAAAGCAAAGACTACAGATTTCTTTGTCCCCTTTACAGCCTCTGAACAGACTTCAAATCTATATATATATATATACTAGAAGCCCATTGCAGAAGGATTCCTGCAAGAATAGGGCTTCCTTGGGCCAATCACGCTGTCAAGCCTCTCCGCCCAGGGCTGCACACGGGGGTCCCAGCTGGGGGCGGGGCTTAAGCGGCCCATTCACGCCGCCAAGACCCTCCACCCAGGGCCGCACACAGGGGTCCCGGCTGGGGGCGGAGCTTAGGCGGCACACGGGGGCCGGATGGCAGCTTGTGCTGGCCCGCCCTGCCTGCAGTATGCAAATTAGCTGCCATCTTTGTTGGCAGTTAATTTGCATATTGTACTGATTAGCCAATGGGAGGCGTAGCGAAGGTACAGTCAATTACCATGTTTGTCTATTATTAGATTAGATAAAATTATGTTCTAGGAATTACTTAAAATTTCATATATTGCTGACTGCCCACTTTATTCATAAGAAAAACTTGCATTAACAATGCTTCTTGTTTTTTACAATTAGGATTGCTTTGGGCTGGACTGGGGACAGTTAATACTTCTCACTAATGCTGCCACTACTGCTTCTATAAGAGCTAAACGCCTCTGTGATCATGAAGCTCCCACGAACCACAGAGGCCATCTCCAAATCCCTCCTCAGCATAACACTCCAAGCATCACTACCAAGTGTTGGGACATGACATATGAAGAGAAACGTACTTACCAGTTTTAAATTTAATGTCATCTAATGTCCCTTTCTAGCACATAACTTTTTAAGTTTTAACTTATCTCAAGTCTTTACACTTACACAAATGACATTTCTACTTCAAGCTCAGTTCTGAAAGACATTTAGACTTCATTTATACAAGGTTATCAAGTACTTTCAAGTTGCCATTAAAATACCCACAAAAGATGCAGGAACACTCTCTCTTGACAAGCCTAGAATCTGTTTTTCTTAAAGTACAGCCATCTTCTAGCCCAATCTTTTTACTACCTACCTAGCAACTGAGTGGGCATTTCAATCTCACACCTAGATGTTATCTCATCCCATGAGAGAAACTTAACTGCACTTTCCTATATAGCTCCTCAACATCCCAATTGTTTTAAAAAGGGGAGGAAAGGTATTTTCAGTGTGAATAGTCATATGTAAATTTTGAATGTCTGCCTTAGTGTAGCAAAACATTATAATCCAAGATGTTATGGTCAAAGAAAAAAAGGGAAAAGAAAATTGTGAACTTAGTTCCATGGATTAGTAGTGGGGTTGGCAAATTACACCCATGAGCCAAATGTGGCCCGCTGCCTGTTTGTGTAAATAAAGCTTTATTGGAACAAAGCTGCTCATCTGTTTACATATTATTTATGGCTGTATTCCCAAGAGTCATCAAGTAGTTGTAACAAAGATAGAATAACAGACAAAGACTTAAATATTTACTGTCTGATCTTTTCCAAAAAAGTATGCCAACTCCTGGTTTGGTAAAACTGAAGATTCATTTTAGGTAAAAAATATCAATACTCTTGATTATCCAGGAAAAAGAGACACTACTAATAGGTAAGCATGCAACTATGAAAGAAATAATCTAAAATAGCTAAGTGTTATTTCCTTAAATTTTTAAATTCATACATACAAAGAAATAAAGAAGTGCTGAGCTAATGTGTCAGGGTAGGACAAATAGTATGCAGCATTCCAATGAAGGTTATAGAGTGAAGAAGGAAAGAAGTCTAATTTAAGGGATCTATCATTGTGGACTAATGTAAATTCTCAACGGCCAAGGTTAATTAGACCTTAGTTGATTTTTGTTTTTCAATGAGAATATCATTGCCTTGTATAGTTAGTGATATGAACATGCCTGTTTTTATCTGTGATCTGTTCTTGCATCATCCTGAGCTTTGCCGGAGGAATATATGCTCCACCAGTACGAGTAAGAAGAGGATCCAGCTCCTCTTTCTTCTTCTTTGCAGTAGGCTCATCCTGAGCAGAGGAACTTTGGGTTACCGATGGTTCTGGGCTTCTCCTCCCAGGCGATGAAGATCTCCGGTACCTTTTCAATTCCACATCTCTTTCTCTTTCTCTTTCTCTTTCTCTGCGTTTCTCTCTGTCCCTACTTCTGTAACATTAAATTTTGGGAAATGGAGAAAAGACAATATAAAATACAATCTTAAATGTATTTCTGCATACCAAATGAGTGAGACCATAAGTGGGCCCAATAAATTCAGAGAAGGAAAAGTGGTTTGGAATGGTGAGAAAGTACTTCACAAGAAAATGTAATTAAATTAAATTATGTCATCAAGGCTTGACAATTTATATTGGGGGCAAGAAGACGAGGGGAGAGGGAAGGGTGAATGGCTTTCTGCAAGTAGAAGACAAAATAACTAATGGAAAACTGAGCAAGGTTGTTCAGGCCAGAATGAAAAGAACAATCAGGAAACAATAAAGAATCATGTATAACAATAGTTGGAAGTATGTGTTCAAGTCAGGCTGAAATTTTCAAAGACAAGCAATACACTTTAAATAGTTTCAGAATGGGATAGTGACATAAAAAGAGTGTTTTAAGAAGACAAATTGGCTTATGATACACATGATATAAACTATATAAAGGAGAAACCAGAGTTTATCATCAATAATGACAATTTAGGAGCAAGACTATCATAAAAATGTAACATTTGAAATTGTTTCTTGATACAACCGATATTTTTATCAAAAACTTCAGAATATCAGAAATTTCTGTTTGAGACAATTTTTAAAGAAAATCAACCATTTTCTAGCCACAATTACTCTTCCCTATTAATGCAGGTGAGTATTCTTTCTTAAGCTAACACTTAATAATTAATTAGATAGGGCGGGGGGAAAATGGACACATATGTAATACCCTTTGTAATACTTTAAGCAATAATAATAATAAAAAAAGAATTAATTAGAATATTGCTCTCTGAAACTATCAAGAATAACAAGAAAGGGTAAATCCTTGATTTTTGCTATCTTTCCCCAGAGAAGAGTTTGTCCACCTATCTATTTTTTACATATACAGATACTGCCTTGGAAACTCAGGTCATTCTACTCACACTTTGTGCAACGATGAGTTATATGAATACAGTAAATAAAAACTGTTTTATATTATCTTATATGAAAGCAAGGGCTGCACAACCAGGAAACCACTGAATAGATTTTACCTAAATCTAGAGGGCATATGAGATTACTGTCTTAATATACAGTAATGCAACCTAGAGACAGAGAAAAGCAGTCAGTTTGAAAATGATGTCTAGAAACCCCAATTAGTCACAAAGTCAGGTGCTCTGAAATCTAGGCACTGATTTGCAATGGAGTTGCTTCCTGTTATGAAGATAACATGTTCCAAGAGAGTAACTAACAGCAATGATTATGATTCTTCTGAGAACCACCTACTAAAACTACTAACTGGCTGATAAAATTGTGTCCTTATAATTATAGTGCTGGTTCCTTTAGAGTGCATGAGCAACACAGTCTCCTTTGAATCCAGATAGAAATATTTCTCTTCAAATGGCTTTGGACTGTTAGCCATTATATTCTACCTTAATACTTCAGTGTGACTGTGTGGGTCAAATGAGACTTTTTGTACATAAAATGGACCAAACACAGACTTATAGTGAAATAATACAGTCAGGGATGATGGAAAATCATGGGCTTTAGAGTGAGAATTGAGTTCAAATCCCAGTTTCATCATCTACCAGACAGGTAACTGCCACTTGGGGTAAATTACTCAAATCACTTCAAACCAGTCCTCTTTTCTAAATTGTGAAAAACAGTATCTAGCTTGTATGTGAGAAAGTATTCAAAATGCCTAGCACAGTGGTCGGCAAACTGTGGCTCGCGAGCCACAGTTTGCCGACCAGTGGCCTAGCACACTAAATAGGGTGATAGTAGTTGTTCTTATTAAGGTGTCATTAAGATGACAGAAGATGGGATTGGCTTTTGGAGGTTCATTTAATCTGACATTTGAAGACTGGAGATATATATGAAAGTAAGAGAAGTGAAAAGGAAATTTGAGCTGCAGATATCAAATAATGCATTTAAGCACCAAACTGCAGAGTTTTGATCAAAATTCTAGTAGGAATACAGTTTTGGAAATCATGGATTAGGTACCGACAGAGATATCAAAATCAGTAAGAACTTAGTGAACAATAAAACATGGTAGACAAGTTTTTGAAACTAGATGACTAATAAGGTGGGTAGTCAAGTACTCCAAGACTAAGAATAATAACATATTTAGATTAAAACTACAGAATGGTAACTTCATTTTCAATGTTCATTTGCCATTATGCAGGAAAGTAAATTTAGATCACTTTAGGTGATATAATATGAACAACTTCCTTTCATTCAGTAAAGAATCTCAAAACACACGAGCCAACTCCTCTTGCAGTACAGTATAATGAATAAGAGCTTCGGCTCTAGAGTCAGACAGATTTGAGACTAACATGTTTCTAGAACACACACAAATGTTTTAACTTCTCTAAGCCTGTTCCTTTTTTTTAAATTTTTTTGTTAAGTTATTACATGTGTCCTTATCCCCATGTTACCCCCCATCTAAGCCTGTTTCTTGATCTATAAATAGACATAACAGCATCTAACATCATACACTTACTGTAACAGAACTAATTTACATGAAGTCCTTATTAGAAGATCATCCACTTAATGCTATTATTGTTTTTATTATAAAGAATAAAGAAAAGTTAAACTAATACACTCTTTCTATAGTTAAAATTTCCAATACTAACCGTGACTCCATGCTGCCATCATAAGAACGTCCTCTTCTTGAACGCTCATTGTCTGACCTGCTGTACTCAAAGTAATCTCTATCCCGGGGGGATCTTTCTTGTTCTGCATATCTAACACAGCAAATAAGAAAACCAAAGTTGAAAACAGCTATGTTACACTTAGGAAAGCCATACATTGGTAATGTAAAGCAACTCTATGACTAAAAAATGTCTTATCAAACTGTTTTTAACAGACAGCTCATTATTTGACACCCATTCATTCAGTCTTGATTATAAAAGCTTTGTTGTACACAACAACAAAACAACTGCTGGAATTCACTTTACCAAACTTGTCATCCTGATTCACACTGTCCAAAGGAAGATATGTATCTGGATATCGTATACAGTCAGCATGAAAAACACTCATCCTGAAAATGACTTCTTTTGCTTAGTCTATAGCTACTCATTTTATCAAAACACTGAATAAATGAGATCAACGTCATCAGTTGGTGTCTATAAAGACCAGTTTAACTTCACTCCAAAAGACTTTATAAGCTACTAGAGGCCCAGTGCACGAAATTCGTATACTCAGGGCAGAGGAGGTCCTTCAGCCCAGCCTGCGCCCTCTCGCAGTCCAGGAGCCCTCAGGGGATGTCCGACTGTCACGGAGGTGGGAGAGGCTCCTGTTACCACTGCTGCACTTGCCAGCTGTGAGCACGGCTTCTGGCTGTGCTGTGCTCCCCCTGTGGGAGCACACTGACCACCAGGGGGCAGCTCCTGCATTGATCAGGATAGGGCCAAAACCGGCTCTTCGACATCCCTTGTGGGGTCCCGGATTATGAGAGCGCACAGGTCAGGCCTAGAGACCACAATGGTGCTCGATTGAGGCTGGGGAGAGATGCGGAAGGTTGGCCATCCAGGGAGGGACTGTGGGAGGGCTCCAGAGTGTATCCAGCCATCTTGCTCAGTCCTGGATCGGCCAGACCCCAGCAGCAAGCTAACCTACAGGTCGGAGTGTCTACCCCCTGGTGATCAGTGCACATCATAGTGAGCGGTTGAGCAGCCTTAACCTATCATCAGCATATTACGCTTTGATTGATTGAATGGCCAACCGGTCGACTGGACACTTAGCATATTAGGCTTTTATTATATAGGATTATTCTTGAAACTGCATTTTTGGATAGCAGTGACAATGATTAAAATTACTAGAAACAAGGATGAATAGTATAAAATCTGCTATTTGAATGTTAAAAATCAGTAAAATCAGAGAACCTTAAGAGAAGTTAAATACACACCCACATAATAAATATACATAGTAACATAATCAATATTTTATATACACATTTAAGTCTGTGTGTAGAGAGATTATTTTTTTAAATATAGAGAGTAGATGACTGATGAAAGGTAGTAAGTAGTTGCAAACCATGGCAATTAACTTGCCCATGAAGAAAGATTTTTAGCAGAGAAAGGAGACTTTTAGCAAGGAGAGGAAGAGATTAGACAAATGAAAGAAAGTTTAGAGGGTGCTTTTCCCTTCATAAATTATTTCTAATAGTCATGGTTTACTAAATGAAAGAACTTAAGTCCATATGAAAGCATGATGAATATAATGGTAATATTTCTGCATCTTTAATCTTAACATGATATATAAACAATACTAGTATTTTAAAGACTATAAACAGCTCTGTAAATGTAAAGGATAGTAGTAACAGCAAAAGCAGCACCTCAAAATAATGTAATTTCAACTGTTTTCCACTTTATAAACTCATTCTAGAGAGAGATATTAAAGTTCTTCCCTCTTACCTAAAAAATTCCTTAAAATCTAGATTTATTTGCTAGAAAGACCTAGGTCAGTAAGAATGATTCATACTCAAGTCCACTCAATATTCTTTATAAAACCATAAAAAAGTTGTCCACTCTAAAATTGGGAAACCAAGAGTTAAGTAATTTCTTAAACTTATAAAACATTTAAATTGAATTCAGAACACATAAAACTGTTTACCTGTCTTCTGGAGAGATGGTCCTTTGATATGAACTGTTGTTTTCCCTTCTGTCATGACCTGAAGAATGCTTCCAAAAAGAAAAAAAAGAAGGAAGTATTTAAAAAGTCATGTTAACACATAGCCAATGAAATATATATCTCATAAAATTGGAAATGCTTTAGAAATTACTTCAAAATATTTTTCAAAAACCTGTTTTCACTATGGAGCAAAAACCCAAAAAATTCAAGATAGATGAAAATATTTCTCACATGCCACCTTGCTGATATTTTACTCCTATATGTTATAAATGTATAGGATACTACTTTTATTTCACCTCTCCTGGTGAAAAATAAGATCAAAACTTTCTTTTGGTGAAAAACATGACTAAGGGCCAGAAGTTTTCTAGCAAGAGCTCACTTTTGTGGTTATGCCCAAGACTTACTACTGCACTGACCTTCTTATTTCCTTTGGCTTATAATAATCACAATTTTAGTACAAGTTAATGAATCTAGATATAATAAATGGCTAGAAGAAACAAACTCTAATATACTTATGAAATTCATTCGTGTTTTCAGCAAACATTATTCGAGTGTCTGATATGTATGGCACTACATTAGCCTATAAGGATTTGAAAGATATGACTTGAAAGATATAGCCCCTGTGTCAAATCCTTTGAAAAATAACAGACATACAAATAACTTCAATAAACATGAGATTAAAGAGACATGTCACGTGAGACAGAGATATGAACCATCTAGTTTGAGAACATATATTAACTTAAAAATCCAAATATGTATAAAAAGCCAAAATATTTATCTCTATAAATAGGTAAATTTTTATACCATTGATCAGCATCAATATTGACAAGGTTTTTAGAAAGAACTAAAATAATTTTAATTAACCAAATTAAAAGAAAAGAAAAAAAGTATGTTTTTTAAAGTATCTTAATCTAGAAATCTAAGAAAAACAAATCAAATAATGAGTAACTTGTTCTGCATACTTGCATACTTGCCTTCTTAATGGGAAAAAGATATATATAAAAATAGAAAATTACTGCATAGAAATATAAACAAGTACTCAAACTTCATCTTATTTTATGATTATCTTTTTAACAGAAGTTGGAGTCTAACATTATCACAAGTAAATTTCCAATCTCATTAACTATTGAAGGAAGCATTTAAACTAGATTAATCTATGTAAGTAAATAAGCATGTGATCAAATCTGTAATTTACAGTAGCCATAGTTAGTTAGGCTGTTATTTTATACTCACTGCAACCGACTTAAAACCCTGTTTCTAATGTGTATAAGAAAGTTTTTAAATTATTTCACTTAACAACACAATGAAGTAGAAATGTTCAACATCATCTATAATAACAAAAGGGTAATATGCTAATTAGACCAGATGTCTTCCGGATGTCATTCCAGACATCCTTCCTGATTAAGCCAGGGCCGGAGGGGTCCCAGGTGCCTGCGGGAGGCCTGAGGGAAGCCAGCCAGGTCCAGGTGCCTGTGGGCGGCTTGAAGGAAGCAGCCCGAGTCCCGGGTGCCTGCAGGCAGCCGGAGGAGGGAAGCAGCCTGAGTCCTGGGTGCTGGAGGGATCTGGTGCCGGCAGCCAAGGGAAGGAAGGCCTACTCTTGAATGAATTTTCGTGCATCAGGCCTCTATTACATATATATAGGTTTTAAAACCTGACATCAAGATCTTAAGCCAAATATGGAACACAAGACTCATTCAAGTCATGGTAACATCAAACATAGTATTTACTGATATTTATTATATGACATAGGCCTTCCTGTGTAGTCTGCAGAATACAAAGGAAAACCCCTCAAGGAATTTATGATCTTGTAGGAGAGATGGTTATAAAGACTTCCACAATTAAACATATCAGATTAGATGTTCGAGAGAGAGAGAGAGAGAGAGAAAAGGGAGAAGAAGAAGGAGGAAAAGAAGAAGGAGGAAGAGAAGGAGGAGGGGAAAAAAGAGGAAAGAGAAAAAGAAAGAGACACTAAAACTGCATCTCTACTTTTTCCTTTACAAGGCACTGCAATTATTTTTATTACATTAGGGAGATGGCCTCAATTCTGTGCTAATGATTTTTGACACATCTCCATAACATCTGTTGTGAGAAAGAGAGAGAAACCAGAAATATTGAAATTGAGAATGGGGATTTCATAAATATGATGACGTTAATGGATGACTGGCACACACAGTAAGTGCTAACAGGAGATCTTGAGTAGGGCACAACCACCACGGTACAGAAGGCACAACCACCACGGTACAGAGTACTGAGGAATGACAGTGAGTAAGGGGGACCTGAACTAGGCTTTAGTAGGTGACAGGATTTCACTATGTGAAAAATCATTTTGAGGTAAGATCCAAATAATAACAACCAGAATTTCCCAATTTCCTCTATCATAGAGTTAGATTATAAGTCAGAGCGATAGTTGAAAATAACTTATTGTCAAAATTACCTTTAAAAATTCTGTTCATTTAGCAAAACAAATACAGTATACCACACAGCCACTTGTAGTCTCTAACAATGTAGAGAGAGCAGTACAAGGAGGTGACCTCAAGGTGGACCCCTGAGTCCAAAGCTCTGGGTATACATTAGGCTCAGGGAGCAAGTCAAGAGCAAGGGACAGGATGGCTGGAGGTAGGGAGCTTGCTTCTGGCTAGCTAAGGAAGCTACAGTAAAGCTCAATGGGAAAAGAAAGATCCTCAGCTCAAGCCTCTTGAGCCTAACAGATGAGCTCAGAACATCAAAGGAAGATCTGAGCTTCCCCTGAGGCAAGATTGGTTCCAATCCAGCCAGTGGACCTGCCTGTGGCTTACAGGATAGAGGGAAACACACTAAACTGAGAAATGACTGGGAGAGCCCAAACCATGGCTCAAGGGATCACAGAGGACCCATTGGTAACACAAGAGGGAAGGGTGGAGAAGCTTAGTCTAAGACAGTGGTTCTCAACCTTCCTAATGCCGCGACCCTTTAATACAGTTCCTCATGTTGTGGTGACCCCCAACCATAAAATTATTTTCGTTGCTACTTCATAACTGTAATTTTGCTACTGTTATGAATCGTAATGTAAATATCTGATATGCAGGATGTATTTTCAGTGTTCCAAATTGAACGTAATTAAAGCATAATGATTAATCACAAAAACAATATGTAAATATGTATGTGTTTTCCGATGGTCAGGCAACCCCTATGAAAGTGTCGTTCGACCCCCAAAGAGGTCGCTACCCACAGGTTGAGAACCGCTGGTCTAAGAGGAGCAGGAAGATCTGAGAGAGACTAGACACTTCTCCCTCTGTAGAAAAGATGTCAGTCTAAATCTGAGTGCTTGGATGAGGGGCTGATGGCTGTTTTCAGGTGGCCTGCACCCCCGTTAGGGTGGGGGTCCCCACTGGGGTGCCTGGTCAGCATGGGTGAGGGGCTGAGGGCTGTTTGCAGCTGGTCACACACCCTTCAAGGTAGGGGCCCCCATTGGGATTCCTGGCCAGTCTCAGTGAGAGGCTGAGAGCTGGAATCATTGGGTCTGCCTCATGCATGCCCCCCACAGGTGATTGAGCCACAACCCAGGCATGTGCACTGACCAGAAATTGAACTGTGACCTCCTAGATCATAGGTCAACGCTCAACCACAGAGCCACACCATCTGAGCAGAGAAACAATTCTGAAAGCAGTTGGAGTTACTGACCCATTACTCATCTCCTCCTATGCTTCCTTTTTCATAACCTGTTCCAGCCAGACTGGACCACCACTTGCTGTTCCCTCTGCCTGGCACACGCTTCCACCAAACACCTGCATGGCTAATTTCCTCATATCCTTTAAGTCCCTGCTTCAATGGCTACCTTTTCTTTTTTTAATATATTTTATTGATTTTTTACAGAGAGGAAAGGGATAGAGAATTAGAAACATCGATGAGAGAGAAACATCAATCAGCTGCCTCCTGCACATCCCCCTACTGGGGATGTGCCCATAACCAAGGTACATGCCCTTGACCGGAATCAAACCTGGGACCCTTCAGTCCACAGGCCTACACTCTATCCACTGAGCCAAACCGGTCAGGGCAAATGGCTACCTTTTCAATGGGCCTTTCCTATTAACCCTTTGAGTGCCAACCAATATCCTAGGAACTATGCTAAAACTGCCAAGACATTTTTGCTGATTTTACAGCAGTTTAGGAAAAAAATTATGAATCGCAAGAAAATGAAGTTACATATTCAAAAACTTAAGGAAACCTTTCCTACTTTTTTTTTCATCTTTGACAAATATTGTTTGCTGATTGTATTATAAAATATTAGAAAAAAATTTGCACAAAACATGTTAAAATAAAATTAATGTTGACTTTGAATACATGAATGAAGATATTGTTTAACTTTTAATATGATTTTGATTTAAAAAAATCTAAAATATTTAGATAATAAAAGCAGACTTAGAACTGGACGCCATTTCAAAGCTTTAGGGCTACAAAATCTGAGTAAACTTCATAAAATCGTAGTACCTATAAAAAATTAGGCAGATAAATGCCAGTGGTCAACTTTAGAACTACAAACATTTGGCATCTTAAGTAATCTGCACTTAGGTGCCATCTGTCAATAAAGAGTGAACTACTAGCATCTAATAGTGACACTGCGATAGCGTTCCCGGCACTTTTGGCGAAAGTCAGGAGGAGAGCAATTGCGCTCCCCGGCACTCTAGGGGTTAAAAACTGCACCCTCCAGTGCTACTGCTCAATCTTACCCTATTTCTTTTCTTCATAGCACAGTCAAGCACTTAGTACTCTACCAGACCATGTAATTTACTTGTTTTAAGTTTATGATTTATTTTGTCTCTTCCCACTAAAATGCAAACTCCATGAGAGCAAGGATTTGCTTTGTTCACCCTTTTACCCAAAGTACGTAGGTCACTGAGACACAGTAAGAATCCAGTGAATATTTGTTAAATGTATAATGTCTAAAGGACAGCACAGGATATACAGCTCATATATATATATATATAAAATGAACTATGCAACAAAAGGTTCACTTGTAGACAGATATGCAGGAACTACAACCATTTGGGCATCACAGTTCATTTCATGTGCATTAAGGATTTCCTGCCCTGTTATTTTTTTTTTCATGTGCCCACTAACATGCACTTTCTTGATTCATGCATACACACCCTGTATGTTCTCTCAACTGTCCTTTTGAACACTATTACTCCCACCTGACCAAGTATGCACATTTGAAATTGTGTTAGATGTATGCATGATGTCACTTTACTGTCTGAATTATATACATGCATTTTTGTTTAAAGGATAGGTAATTGACTACATGTTTATTTTTTTATTACACGTTTCAAAGACTTACTTTTATCTGTGCCACACTACTTTTCATTTTCTGCTGCCAGTTGATCCTATCAATCAGGCTCCTTAAGCTGGTCCAAATAACAAGTCCCAAATGGTATGAATTTTCTGACAGTATACTTTTTCTGTCTGCAAGGATCACCTATAAAATATACCAAAGAAAGCTCTGTTAACTTTGACCAACTTATTTTTCATAGTCAGTAGGCATAGATCTAACCAGTAATAAAAATATCCTTAAATAGTTCCACATAATAATGTATAAAGAACACATATTATTAGCAAAGATTCTGAACAAGAGAGCAAATAATTTAAAATCTAATGTCAGATAACTTTATTCAACTTGTTCTCAATGAAAGAAATATATCTACATCATAAAATAGTATTGTGACATTATAAAAAAACACATACAAAAAAACAAGTGAACAGGGGAAACAATTATAAAATATCCAATGTTCCTGTAATAATGATCAATCAGAGATAAATATACTTTGCATGAAAATATAAGATACTATAATAATAGCATACTCAAGCTAGCTAGCATAATCAAGTCTCAAAGGCTTCAGGTATATGCACTTATGAGAACTAAGTATTTGTTCAGAATAAACCTAGTCATCAACATTAAATGCTAAAATTAAATTTCACTATCCATCTGTTAAACACATTTTAGGAATTTTTGAAAAATGCTAAATTGATAATTATGTTTCCAAGTATTTTATTGGAGTTACATATATAAGTGATTTAGGGCTTATGAGAATTGCATATTTAAATGATTTATAATATGGTACATAGCACAGAATTACAAAAACAATATGAAATAGAAAAACAATTTTAAGATAAAGAATCTAGAGAAAGAACTGTTCTCAGTACCAAAAAAACTGAATACAACTAGGAAAAATATTAATTTTAATGCAAAAAATGTTACATATTATCTAGTACAATTTCTTCTTTTTAAAGATAAGATGAAAGTCAGATAACTCATTTAATGCCCTAAGCTATGATAGTTAGTGGTGGACCATAAGTAAAAACCTAGCCTGAGGACAGGTAAATAAGTATTCTTTTCATTAGACCATGTACACAAATAACCTTGACACTATATAGTGACATAGAGCTGCTACCATTTAATATAGATGGGGATGTACACAACCACTAAGTCAAGGAAAGTTTCTATTACAATAGTTAGCATGGTATCAATATTAATAAGTACAATATATGTAACATACTTTATAAACTTATCAATATATAAAATATAATTTCAATCTAAACACATAACTATTGTGCAAAATTTAACACTTTCCTTTGATATTCCTCTTGGGTCTTAAATCTGGTCTCTCTTCTCAACCTACCAACACATTAAAAATAAAATAAAAAAGCAACTTTCTATGTATTTTATTTCAAATGTACCTTATTTAAATTTAATTAGTTTTCTTTCTGATCAGTGTCATTTCCTCTTTCTACCACCCTTCAATCATCATCACCAAATAAAATTCTGGCAATCAAGTATACCATGTCCCAAAATGAAAGTATGAAATTGACAATATTGTAAGGTAGACTGGTACTGCAGTGCCAACAACAACAACAAAATGTTTAAAGTATTATCACCATCCAGATTTATATAAATTTCCCTCTAGGGAAATTCTTAGAGTTCAACATGTACATGCTTGATATTTGGTCTAATTGGAAATTCTTGCAACGAGAGCAATTTATCCAGAGTTTATAGCTCTCACTGCTCTTTTTAGCACCACTATGAGGATTTTATGATGAATTATTAAGTTTTCCTCTCCTTGTCACAAGTAAGCAACTCAGCAAAACCACACCTCCTTTCCTTAGTAAGGAGATTTTATAAGGAGATGTAGTTTAAAAATGATGACAATTTTACGTCAGAAAGCAAATATTTAATAACATTTGTAAGAAGGACTTTAACTGAAAATGAATAAACTATAAATTCTGCAATTATCTCAAAAATTCAGAAAATGCAAATATATTCACCAATGGCCAAAATGCACTGTTTTCTCTATTATTTCAGAACAATATTTCTACCATCATCCCTTATAAGTCCTTAACCCAGGTTAGAGGAACTCACCAAAATATACTATCATAAAATTGTTAAAAGGGGAGTGGATACCCTTTAGTTTGCTCTTCTGCATTCTACACATTAACAGCAGACTGGACAAATTTCAGACATTTTAACAGTTAAAAAAATAAAAATATATAAATCCATAAATCATAGTTGTCCACTGGGAATAACAGTAATATTAATCAATATTCAAAATAAATATAGTTTAAATTTGTTCTAAATGCAAAAAATATATAATTGGGGGGGGGGATCTTGAGGAAAATCCTCAAATAGGATCCAAGCCCCTGCCCCTTCCGAACAGTGATTTTACTTCTGAGGTAACAGACAGTAGCAGCAGATTGGCCACAGTTCTTAAACATTAATGACAAGATTGTTAGGGCCTTTCCCTGTTGGTACTGAAGGAAAACCCCTTTGTTTAAGAAAACCATTCTATTTTTTTCTTGCTATTTTTTAAATAGAAGTACACTAGAGGCCGAGTGCATGAAATTTGTGCATGGGTAAGGTCCCTAGCAGCTGCCAGCCTGGGCCTCCCTTCCCTGGATGCTAGTTGCCAGCCGGGGCCTTCTTTTATTCCGCGTCGCCCCCTGGTGGTCAGTGCACGTCACAGCAAGTGATCGAACTCTCTCTCAGTCAAACTCCAGAGGGCACAATTTGTATATTAGGCTTTTATATATGTACACTAGAGGCCCAGTGCACAAAAATTTGTGCCCTTGGGGGGAAGGGGGGGCCCCTCAGCCTGGCCTGTGCCCTCTTGCAGTCTGGGACCCCTTGGGAGATAACGACCTGCTGGTTTAGGCCTGCTCCCGGGTGGCAGAGGGCAGGCCCAATCCCTAGGTGCAGCCCCTGGTCGGGCTCAGAGCAGGGCCGATTGGGGAG